AAACTTCGTTTATTTAGAATATATTTTCGTTACCAATAAAATAAAAATCTCTCAGTCAATCAGAAACCCGGATTCATGCCTTTGAGGAAGGTCCCGTTTGAACGCTCACATCGGTTTTTTTTTCGTTTGGGGGAAAACTAAAACTGGTCGCAATTTTCGAATAAGAATGAGTCGGCAATTTTTAGTGGAGTCGAAAATTTGGAGGTAAATAAAACACCGAAACCCGGCAAATAAATAGGCGGTCAAATTTTTAGAGGGGTCGAAATTTTGGAGTTTTCACGGTGCTAATTATTCCATTTCAATGAAACTTAGTACAAAGATGCTCTAGGACAATGTACAAACCTAATTAGTTTGGGGTAAAAATCTGTTCATATTAATTCCCTAATAAGCATAATAATTCATAATTTTTTGGTTCTAATCACATTTCAATTAAACTTGGAGACATAGATTTTCTGTTACATTGCGCAGACCTCATTAGTTTTACACTCAAATCTGGTCATATTAATTTTCTGATTTGCATAATTAGTTTTCAGCTAAGTAATTTCGAATTATATTTAATGTGTCTCCAATACTCTCAGCACATGGGAGTTCTTTCTAAGCTTTCTTTGATTCTTGCTGGCCTTAGTTACGGTGCGGCGGTGTGTGACTTTCTGTCTTCTACCCTGTTTAACTTACTGCAAGTGCTATCAACTAGCCTCGCAAACTACAAAAATAACAAAAACAGACAAGACGTAGACGTTTCCAGCATACAAACGGAATATGAAAAACATACACTTGTAAATGATATGTAAACTTTTTCACCCTTATCTCGCAACATGTCGACAACTTCTAGCCTGGCAGCTTCCAGTGATATACTGTTAAATAATGTATTTTTTTAGGGGCCCAAGCCTGTAGGGCGTGGCCCCTATTCTTATTGTCCGGTTTTTTCTTCTTCATCTTCTTTCTTCCGTAACTTTTTTCATCAAGCCGTTTGAGAAAACCGCTGAACCAAATAGTCAGAAAATGCTCTATACTGATAGTCTCTAATATGAACTGGTGCAACATGCTTTTAGAATTTTGATTGGCCAATTAGTTTGGTAGCCATATTGGATTGAAATAAAACCAGAAGTGGCTGTTTGACCACTTTCTGAGGGTCTAGGCGTCTAGATTTTTTTAGAGTATATAGTACAACTCATGTGTAATAAATATCAGGAATAAAAACTTTAACGGTCACGTGACTTTTCCCGCCATTTTGTTTTTCCTGAAAACGGCAAAAAACACTTAAAAATCTTCTTCTTCAGAACCGCCGAGTAAAATGTTCTCATATTTAGTACTTAGCTTCGACATATAGAGCAGATCTAGATTTGAGAAATTCATTATGATTGGTCACGTGGTTTGGCCGCCATTTTGGGTTTCTTCTAAACAGGAAGTAGTTTTTTACTCATGCCACACTTGAGCGATTATCTTCAATATTGCTGCATGGCATCTCTATATCAAACTCTTTCAGAAACCTAAAAAAGATTTCAAATCAGTCACATGGTTTGGCCGCCATCTTGGATTTTAGGCAAAATTGACCAAAAGTTTGGGCATTTGTTTCTCAGAGGTGATTCAACCAATCTACTAGATGTTTTTATATTTACCATGCCTGGCCTTAGCTCCATATGAGAAAAATAATATTATTTTGATCAGTCACATGGTTTGGCCGCCATCTTGAATTTTGTGAAAATAGAAATTATGCAACTACATGTTTTGTATTAGTCTGATTTCTTTCAAATTTTGTATGTGCATTTGTGTCATCAGATACATCAGTTTGCCCCAATAGCACACTGCTAGAGCACGTGGCCGGGCACCCATGGGGTAGGGGCTTCTAACCTCATTAATATGCATAACTGTTATAACTCAAGCACTGTTGTTGTTAGGAAGTGGAATCCTGTGTTATTACCGTATGACAACTTTGAAGAAGAGATTTGATTAAAAAAACAGATGACCATATATGGCCATGTGAGCTCACTAATATGCATAACTGTCATATCTCAAACACTGTTGCAGTTAGGAAGATGAATCCTGTGTTATTATGACAACATTCAACAAGAGATTTGAATAAAATAACATATGACCATATATGGTCAGATGAATTAATTAATATTCATTACTGTCATATCTCAAGCACTGTTGCAGGTAGGAAGATGAAACCTGTGTTATTATGATGAAGTTAAACAAGAGATTTGATTAAAATAACAGATAACCATATATGGTCATTTGAGCTCATTAATATGCATAACTGTCATATCTCAAACACTATTGCAGTTAGGAAGATAAATCCTGTGTTATTATGACAACATTGAATAAGAAATTTGATTGAAATAACAAATGACCATATATGGTCATGTGGGCTCATTAATATGCATAATCATTATATCTCAAACACTGTTGCAATTAGGAAGATGAATCCTGTGTTATTATGAAAACGTTGGACAAGAGATTTGATTAAAATAACAGATTACCATATATGGTCATGTGAACTCATTAATATTCATAACCTTTATATCTCAAATAAATATATGGAACCAACTGCATTTCGACTTCATGGTATTAATCATTCAAACTAACCAATTGTGTATAATGTGACCTCATTATTTATAGAATATATGCTTGGGGCCTCTGTGACGCTGCTTGCAGCTTTAATTTTAATTTCTTTTCATGCATTTTTTATCTGAAGGCATTTTAACACTGAAGTAAACATTTTTCGTTCCGCTGTAACGATCACCGTGCTGATAGCATAGCGCTGCAATGCAATGGATAAACACCATTGCTGTGCTGTCATCGATAACTAACTTTTTAGTGGCAAAATACACAAATGTAAAATGCTTGATTTTGGCATGTCGTGATGCAATAGCCATTTTTGTGGAGGATTAACGTCACTTTCATGAAATTGTCATTATCTCCATTCATGTTTTCGGGAGATTAAAAATTAATTAGCTCCCACAGTTTTTTGTCAGTTTGTCTTGACATTTTCACACTATTTTTACAACATCTCTACGAACAGAAGGACGTCTGATTGTTAAAGCTTTGCATTCTCGGACAATGACATTAAAAGTGTGAAATACTGACTGATATTGAATATACCGCTCACATTCTGCTTGACAACTTTGTAATATGAAAACAAAACATACTATATATACACCTGGACACCCATTCGTTAATAAACAACTGATAAACATTGTGTGAAAGTTTCACTTGAAATAAACAAGAATTGTGCGAGCTATTTCGATTTGAACTTCCATGGTAAACTGAAAGTGAAGATAATAGCTAATTTGCTAATGCTGATAATTAAAATGGCTGTAACAGTTCCAAATTTAAACCTATTAATGTTTTGTAAAAAGTTAAATATGGTGAATAATATGGAGATTATTTATGTACAGCCTTGCTAAATTTTGCTGGCCATTCAAAAAGAGAGAATGTTTGTACCTGTTTTTGACTCCCATGTGCGAAGCACAAAATGGGAGTCTTTGCAGTTAGTGTGTCTGTATGTGTGTATGTGTGTGTGTATGTGTGTCCGACTGTTCCACTGCTATCTCAAGAACCATACATCGGTTTTTGATGAAACT